CCAGTAGAAACAGCCGGTTGTTGATCACGTGACTCCTGTGATGTGAAAAAAGTGTTTCCATTGCAGTTTTGCGAAAAACACCAATTTCGATACGACTGAAAAACCACCTCATCCTAGCGCAAAAACATTTTGTCGAAAAACATAATTTTTTTGGAAATTGACGTGTTTCCATTGAGCAAATTTAATTTTGAAATTCTAATTTGCACATTTTTATGGTCAATGGAAACACAGCTACAGGTACTTTAATGCTGAAAATGCAGAATGAGGAATATAAGTGGCGAGGTGAGTTTCCTACAGGGAACTTGTTTTGTACAGAGCACCAGATACGTATACTATACAAATACCCATTTTGCTACATTTTTGTTGCTTCATTTTTAAAGCAAACATGAAGCAGCAGCTAATCCACACTGAACTGGTTTTTATTCACTTTGTCGTAAGTCTGTCAGGTTTCTGACATCTCATAATAAACTCTTCACTTTGGCGCTCTTTTAAACTTCAAATACTCCCACTGTGTGTGTGTGTGTGTGTGTGTGTGTGTGTGTGTTTTCCACAGACCACATGGTTTTCATCCACAGCACTCGCTATATTTCCTGGAAGTATTAAAGATTTCATCTCTGATACACAAACGTTGACAAACACAAGTCATTTCCTGAATGAAGAACTGTTAAACGTTCAGGTTTTCTGGGCGTCAGGTCAGGATGTTTTTCATTTAAAGCACCTTTTACAGTAAAATGTTTGATTATTTGACTGAGCAGGAGGTTTATGAGTTCAACGAAAACAGTCATTTTTTAAATTAAACCAGTCGTCGGCTACAAAGAAACAAAAAGAGCAGAAAAGAGGGACCTTGAAGGAAGAAGCAGGTAAAGAAAATGAGCAATAAGAACTAAATAAAATAAAATTTAACCTTACATTTTGCTTTTGGTTTCAGAGGTTTCCATCAGCACTTTATTTTACTGAACAAAAAAATAGTTTTTGTGTTTGGCTTTTAAAAAAAGACTGAATTCTCTGAAAATTAAATATAAAAACAATTCATCATTAAAACTCATTTTTCTCTGAATGACGAATAAAAAATCAAACTTTCCACAATAAATTTGTCAGACTGATTAGGATCCAGACTGTTTCCTGGCCGTGTGATTCAGACGATTCGTCTTTCTTTAGAGAAGAGCTTCAGGTGCTCTTTGATCTGTGCTGAGGTGGGCTGAAAATAAAATAAAAATAATCTAATTGTTGCATCATTTTTTAGCAACCTGCGCCTTGCTTCATGTTGGAGCTTCATATCGTTTATCACAGCCATGAAAAATAAGCATCGTGTTTTATTATAACTTTATTATAAATTTCAGCTCTTTGTCTGGATTCAGTGAAAATATTTTATTTCAATAATTTACAAACTACAACTAATTTGTATCAGTTTAGGTGATCATTAGATTTGTACTGTTACTGTTCATTGTAATTATTCAACTGAACATTTGCACTTTGCTGTAATTACTCATCTGTTTCTCGTCTGCACTGTGATTCTTCACTGTTATTAGTCTGTTGAGATTGTTTTGCACTGAAAACATGTCATTTCTGATTCCTAATGTTGGATTCTGATAATCTGTCTCTAAAACAAAACGTATCGTTTTCTATTTTTGCACAATTCTTTATATTTTTATTATTTGTAGTTGTATCATGGCCAGTCAGTGTTAATTTTTGTTTTGTGTGCACTATCTATAGTTTGTAAACTAGTGAAACTGTACTGATGCTGCTGTGTTGCCTGAATTTCCACTCGGCGGGACAATAAAAACTATTTCTATTCTATTCTTCTATTATTTGGATTATATGTACAGAAATATAAAAAAATGTTTTTTGCTTGATTAAAAAAAAAGCCAAGTTTGTATCTGTTTTGATATATTT